GAAAAATAAAAAAAAAGGCGTTATAAATAGATACTCATAGGTTTCATCAATTGATCGATTGTTCCTTTAAAGTTTTTTTTACAAATTGTTTCATCTGGTCGATCCAGTGCTAGGGTAATAAATTTGATTGGATGATCACATGGTGATTAGCAAAAATTTTGCATTAGCATATATCCAAAAATGGGAATTAAATTAAAAATAATCATTTATGAAATTAATGAGTTATTAAACTGATGGATGTTTAATATTGTTAACCATATATATACTTATTTATAAGTTATTTATTTGCGAGTGATATTATATATCAATACAATTTTATTTATACTGAAATAGGATAAATCTTTCCTAAAATACATGTCTAATGGAGGAATTAAAGAAATAGGTATAATTCCATACATGGTCTACTGAGTAGCGCAGTATAAAAATATATGATAATTTCAATTAATTAAAAAATAAAGATTAGTTATAAAAAATTTTAGCTGTTTTGTTAAGTTGAGTTCCATAGCATTTAGGCACAATTTTATATTGTATAAAGGGAACAAAATAAATTCGTAAGTCTTCGAATTAGATTCGTAAGGTGGTGAAATTTATTTTTTGTATGAAAGTTCCAATGATCCATAATAAACATTATCCTATTTAATTTAATAATAATAATAAATAATAAACAGGAAATAGAATAGTGACAGGTACTTTTGAACTAGCCAATTCTGTAATATTCAGTGGCTAAGCACAATTTTTTTTTCTTATAAATAAGACAGTTATTCGTAGCAGAGTGAAAACGGAGCACTGAGAATCAAGATCAAGATTAAGATCTAGATCATTATTTAGAGACTATAATACAAAACGCATTCAAAATCGTGATACCATCGTTTCCTTTTATATGAATTTCTTCGCCTAAAACGGACAGAGATCTTGTTTCAAATATTCAAAGCGTGTAGCACAAACATGCAAGTGACTGTTTAGATCGTTAATAAAATGCATAACGTTATTTAATAACGTTATGCATTTTATTACTAGAGCCCTTACCCGGGTCGGGTTGACCCGTGCAGGTCAGCTTCTTGCCGGGTAATAGCTCTATTGGAAGCCTGTGAATAACCGTTATTATTCATGCCGATATTTACTAACTCAAAATAAAAATAAATAAGCCTAAATCAGTTTCGTGCGTAAATCGTCAAAAGCCAATGTTTATATAAAATTTCACCTGCCAATTTGTCCCGTAAAAATACCAAGAGATCATTTTTACAATGTCTTAGTATCCTCTGCTAGTTACCGCGTCACTTGGCGATCGATCGTATTTCCTAACACACGCCAACCTATAATTCATACCCAAATCAAACAAATAATTGATCCACAGTCCCCATAATCACAATTTGAAACACCATGACTTTTAATAAATACTACACTATATACAAATTACTCTCGATTAAGAAACTCTCGATATAAAAAGGACTAATTAAAATTCGATATAAGAATGTTAAAATCAAGACCAGTCTATAAAAAATTCACTTGATATAAAAAAGTTATTAGTAAACTCTCGATATAAAAATTTTTACTATTGGCTTATCACCTTTCTCATATCAAGATTACTTGTATAAAATTTACTTTTAGCTAGTTTAAAATACTAGATGATAACATTTCCGTTCTTTACAATTCATTCCTAATATGAACTTCTGATATAGTGAAGCTAGATTCAAAGTCAGTTTATATAAAATCTTTATGTTGTATTGAATTTACTGTTAAATTCTCGTTAATAAATTTCTTTATTATAGCAAAATCTCTTCAATATAAGGGGTCACATATAGTACTATATTGGTTAAAAAAAAGGTTTTATTATAAATTTAAATTATAAAAAAAAAAGTTTTTGCTAATTTTGATAATCAGTCATTTTTTTCTTTAAAATCCCATTGGATAAAATAAATTATGTTTATTATAAGAATTAAAATTGGAATAATAAGGACAAGGAGTACGAAATGAGTGACATCATAGCATAAAAAGGCTATCTAAAGAATTATTAGAAAGCAATGCTTCGGTTGCTTAATTATCCTTTATTAACAAACCTGAATTTATTATAGTACCATTGACTCGAAGTTTTTACGTGATGGTACCAAAATTATATAATTAATTGTACTTGATTTAAATCATTAAGATATTCGGCTGTTATATAATAAATTTTAGTGCAGGTAATAGCATTTAGTAGGTTTGCTTAGGATTTATTGTTCCATTATGCGATTTTTAATTATCACTTAAGTATGAATCAGAAACATATTCTTGTTTTGAATAAATAAAGCTGAATTGATCATCTTATTCTTTGGTCCACGTTTTTTATCCAATTTGACAAATTCACGAAAAGATCATGTTTTTATGCAGTTTGTACAGGGAACGGCTCCAGAGCCTCTTTGGTTGTTGGTACATTCTCTAGATGCGTATACAACTTCCAGAAAACATTTACTAAAAATACTTATCGTTATGCAAATAAAAATAAAAATAAGGTAGTTTGAAGATTTAAGCGTGTTAATATTAATAGTCTTAATATGTGAAAGTTTCAGCTAAAGTATTTGTACTAATAAATAAAATGGACTGTCATTGAAACATAAGTACAATCTGTTCTCTCGCTTTACTAATTGTCAGTCGAGGCTATTTCCCTACTGAATTTAAGTCATTTCCAAAATAGGTGTGAAAGCATCGGAATCTACAATTAGCCAAACGAAGAATAATTATAAAAAATGTAACAAACAAAAAAAAGCCACGTTATTATTAATAAAAAAAAAATAAACCAAAAAAACTTTAGAGGAACAATCGATCAATTGATGAAACCTATGAGTATCTATTTATAACGCCTTTTTTTTTATTTTTCCTAATTTTTTATACATGACAATTTGCCAACCAACTAGTTATCCAATTTGAATGAAAATTTTTTTAATTTGTAGATTCTATTGAGATTTACAAAACAAAAAAAGTTTATTCAAATTGGATTACTAGATAGCTGGCAAATTTAATTTTTATTCACAAAATCAACATAGCCTCGGAGGGTCATTTTGATAGCAAAGATCCCATATTATCTTAATCAAGTTTTTATATTAAAAACTGCCAGGTACAGTACGAACATCGCATTTGGTGTTAACCCACAAATACTACACATAAATATTATTAATAAATTAGATTATATTTCATTTTTTTGAAATTAGAATTAGGTCATATACCAAAAAGCCACGATTAAATAATTAATATTTATGGCAATTCTTCCTCACGACTATCAAAAAGCAAACGTTGGAGATAAGCAATGTGCACACACACATGACGAATAACTGTATATTTCCAAAATTTTATAAAACTAACTTTCGGCGTGTCCTCCCGACCATGCATAGATATTTTATACTTGGTAAGAAATACTATAGTTAGATAAATTAATTTTTTGGATGTCGACAAAGGAAACCAGACCAGAACATTCAGAATTTTATCCATTATTTTGTTGCACATAATTGACAGACCTGTGCAAATGATTTGGCACGACATTATAGATATTTTTGGCCGCATTATGTGACGGTAGGTTTTTGTTGACCTCTAATCAGGAATTAACAAAGATTGACTACATAATCGTTATTAAAGATTGATTTTAATTCGGATTAAAAATCATTTAATTTTGGAAAATTACTGCCAATTCCGAGGATTTGCAGCTGAATTGCAATTTCTCCGATTGCAGAATTCTGGACGTCCTAAACCGGACCTCGTTCTTTATAATTTATCTAATAAGCAATGTAGTTAAAGGCATGCGCCTGACTCATCAAAATGACTAGAAAACCGGCTTACACGTATAAATACAGATTAATGTAATACTCTGGGGGTGATATCAGTCTAGTTACAATTGTAGTGTAGCTAACCTAATAAGATTTTCATTAAATGAGCGTAAAATCATTAAAAGAAATCCAATAAACAATTTTATTTTTACGATTTGTTTTCTGCTTTACATATTTGTCATTAATAGTATTACAATGAATTTCTTGCTTATAAATTTATTTAACTCATGTATCCATGTGAATATAAACCACTATTAGGTCTTGATTCTACGATATGACATGTTATTATTATCGGAAGATGAAAAAGGCAACTGAGCGAGGCGAGACCAAGAGATGTACTGTAGAAACAAATGGTACAATACAAATATAGTATAGATTGGGTTTTAATTTAAGCAAGAACCAAGGCCATATTGTTATGTAAAAAAAAAAAACCATATTTCAATGAAGTCATGCGAAGCGAGGCCGAAAATCATATAAAGATTGTTGTTTATATACTTTCTATAATATTTATAATGCGCTGAGTTCTTCTATTTTCAGAATAAGTTTAAAATCTTTACACTATATGCTATATCTAATTTATAAGTTAGCTGAAATGGATGGCAAAGCCGCCCGCATATGCAATTTCTAGTTAAATATAAAATCTTAATATAGCCAAAGAATTATACTAAAGCGCACTAGTGGTATTTCAGCATCATATATAATTTTCTATGAAATTTCAGGGTTAGGGTATAGTTATAGAATAAAATAAAGGTTAGGTATAAAAGTTTTAATTTTAGTCAATATAAGTCCTGAACATTGTTACTTAGTATACTCAATTTTACTTATCTGATAGGCTTTTGACATATAACACCACTGGTAAATTCGTAACAAAAATATATAAAATAATATTCGAACATACAGGAGAGTATCATAAGCTACCGAATGTTTTGCTTGTATGGCATAAGTAAATCGTTCAGCAACCTGTGATATATTTGATTTACTACTCAGTGACTGATAAAGGAATACAGCATTAATTATAATCCCACTCCTGTTTATGTCCGAGAATCCTCCTAGTGGAATTTAATAATTCTTGACGTTCAAATGGGAGTGCACTTTCGGGAATATCTGATGAATTATCGTTCGTTATCCATTGTATCATAGTTGTTCGATCAATGCTATATGATTTGATGAGTCCATTATTAACTCTACCTGCATCAATAGGATTGGTGACGTCAAGGTCTTTTATTAGATTGCAGCATCACAGCATAACCATGCGTATTGATTGGATAAGTAGATTTAATTAGTTTAAATTCGTCACTTTCCGTTAAAATTTCTCCTTTCTCGTAATTATAATGAGCAATGTAAAATAGTTCCCAATCATCGGGTAAGCATGGCTGAGATCACTCACTATTTTGGAGATTTCAAATTCAATATCTATATCATCTTCCAAAATCAAAGCATTTTATATCCATTTTTGATGATTTCTCCATAGATAAAATAATGACTTAGATAGCAAGCTCTTTGAGCATTTGACAGACCGGCAAGATTATATTTGTTGAGTAATTTTCTATCAAATCTGGAGACAACAGGGAAAAGGTCGAAATCTAAACCAAGAAAATCAGCAATCTCTTGCATGTCCTCACGTCTATCTAGTCGATAACTAAGATTAATAACAAAAATATGATCGAATCCAAGGGTATATTTTAATGGCTTTGATTTTTTTTAACCCTAAAGCGTAATGGTTGGAGAATAAAAATAGACCAGGCACAATAGCATAAAAAAGATGATGCCGGCGAATATTAATATCCGTTTTTTTGTTTGTCGTGTTATAGTTCGATGTGAAAGAAAATATAGCAGTAAATAAACTGAGAATGAAAAAGTCTATAGCTAAGTTAGTTTCATTGGGAAATGTTTTGTCAATACTATAATAATAACTTACAAATTACACGAATTGTTTTGTGCAATTGTATATGTGCACTGGTGTCAAATTGTGGTGCAACTATGTACAGTATAACAAAATTAAGGTTATGCTTGGATAGTACCTTTTGGTCTACCGTTCCAAATCATGTAATATACTGTACGTGACTACGATCGTATTAACCTTATTTCACTTCTTAATATTTCGCTCTACTTCATACTAAATTAATTGATTTCATATTAGTTTATTAGATTATTATTTAATAGACTTAGTATCAATTAGGGAGTATATACCATATTATTTTAAAAATTTATACAAAACTAAATAGATAAAATATTACCGGTAAGCTAAAAATCATATCAAATACTCACCGGAGGTGAAATTCACCGGGGGTGCATATCTCAAAAACGTACTAAGTAAACGGGATCGGGTATTCTAAGTAAAAATGTTCAGGACCCTCGGAAACCCCACAAGAACTAAAATTGGGACCTTATATCAAATCTACATTATGTTATATAAAACTCTTCCTTTATCTTAAAACTACACCCTAACCCTAAAAATTCTTAGACTGGTGAATTTCACCTCCGGTTAAATCTAAATTATTTCTTTTTTTTTTTAGTTTACTAGTTTGTTATTTAAAAATTAAAATAGTATATTGAAAATATTCTACTGTATAATATATAATATAAAAAAATTTTTTTAGTAAACTAAATCTTTTAGTATAGTTAAACTTTCTAAATATAATTTTTATAGATTAGCTTAAATATAGTATATACAGTATTTAAAAAGATTTGTATTTAAAAATGCTACGTAATTAAATTATATATAATTTAAAAATCATAAAATTAAACTATCGAATATCCAAATCACATCTCTAGTTTTAGCTAACAAAATAAGTAATTTATGTATTTAATAAAATGAAATAAAGTTTTATGTTGCATAGCTCTTAAAGAAAATCGCAAAAAAAACCATCGGAAAATCAACTTTTGTTATAAATCTTACAAATCATAAAAAAATACAAACTTTAAAGAGATTTACTGAAAAATTTTTATTGTGAAAAATAATCCTTAATCTTATTCTAAATTGATTTATGTGAAAATGTTTTTTTGAAAAATTGTCAATTTGGCCCTTTTCCCAGCACCTAGCCCACATGTATATATAATTTGATTTGTTATGTCAGAAAAAATGTACGTTCGTACGTGCGTACCTAATTAGTGCGAATTCATATATGTGAAACTAACTTTTGACCTGACTACGTATTGTTTTAGTGTTGTACACCCATCCTATTTTATACAAATATTCTAACTATACATGATACTATATTGGTTCGTAGTCACATCCACATGAGATTGCTCGCCAACAAGTTTGCCAGGTCCCGTTTCAATAAAGCGCGAAATTCTAATTAATACTAAGTAAAGAAAAGAACTAAACGAAAAAAGGAAACAAATAATCAAAATAAAAGAATATAATATAGGTAAATTATATACAAGTCACGAGTGAATCGTGGCACAGGGTCGTAAAATTGCCATACTTTTACTTATTTTTCGGACAATTAGATTTTATTTAAATACAACTATGAACACATGATATGTTTCTGTAATATAATTTCGTCATTTAGATGTCATAATCACAGTGCTAGATGGTGCGGATCGTATAGTCATAATGTTGGTACTTGTTACGTAAGATATATAACCTGACAAGTTACATGAAATCTAATAGATTTTTTGTCAATACGAAAATTTTTTTTGCTAAATATATATCTAATATAGTTTAATGATAAAACTTCACAAACAAATTGGCTGAAGTAACACTGTAACGGGCTTTTCTAACGTTAATGCTGCAAATAGAAATAATAAATGTCCATTTATATAAACAACAGGACCATGACCAACTCGATTAAATTATGAATTAATTCTCGTAACGGTAATTCCTAATAAAGTTCTTAATCAATTAGAATTTTCTTTTAATTGTTAATAATATTAATTAATAAAATATGAATCATACTAATTCAGTCAACTTTTTGTACATATACATTTAACGGTTGTTAATCGTTCCTAGAAAGATAATGTTGTAATTGTAAAACTTGTTCACATGTAAAAATCAATATAAACAATCAATTTTGCCATTATAATCCGTCGTGTTGTTAACAAAAAATAAATTGTAAAGCAGCACGAAATGAACTGTCATATTTATTTATTTTTCTTATGTTTCTCAGTATTTCTGATTTCTGAAGTCCTTGCTGACTGTGACTATGTTAACACCAGCGGTTGCAAATGTAATACGAACGATGCTATTGGTGGTCTCAAATGTGGCTATGAACTGAATAATCGTAAATATTTCATATTTCGAGTCAATTTTTATTATTTTTTTTACAGCTTATTACTAAAAGTTAGCCTGGAAATGCAGATTGCCTCCCTGATCCTTCTTCTATTTTTCAATGCAACCCCGGGGGTACTCAAAATTGTCGATATGGTTCTTGTACATATGGTTGTTGTGGGACTGGTGACGGCCATAGTTACTGTTGCAAGGACAGCACATGTTCTGGATGCCCCCCTGGACATTGGTACAAGAAAAAAGAAACATCTACATCGGTGCCATCATCATCTAGTCCACCTCCTACGACAACCACCACGGATTGCAATAATCCTGCACCAAACTCATGCAGTTTTTATACGAGCTGCTTAGAGAATAAATTTCATTGCGGACCCATGGGATATCCAATCAATTATGGAGACAAGAATTGTAGAAAATTTATCAATGCTATGAACAAGTTCAGTTCCGCTGGAAAGAAGTGGTAAATATTTGCTGAAATATTCACTCATTATTTACGAAATATAATGGTGATTATGGCATTGATTTACTTTACAATCTTCTTTTTATGATAAATTAGGGTAACCGACACAATGCTTTGTCTCCAAAAGGCGTTAATATCAACTTATAAAAATAACAAAACTACTTGCTCAGAAATAAGTAATACGGCATTCAATTCTCATGCGTCATGTTATATTACTTCTGGTGTATGTTTTCTTCCACCGACTGATTGGGGTGTCATATTCGAAACCGTCAGTCTCAAAGATATATTTGGAAGCAAGCAGGCCTTTACAGTTAGTATTATTATATTATATATATATATATTTATATAAGTATACAGTACCTGTACTATATTATACTAATAAGACATTATTCATTACGTAGCAAGCATTGGAAACCGCAAGTGAATGCTTTACTTTCTACGCTTGGATTCTTGTGGAAATTTGCTTATTAGTTTGTGAAATATAAAAAAAAAAATAATTAGTGTGTAGTTTCGATCATTACTTTATTTTTTACCTTTGGAAATTATGTTTTTAACTTCTCTGATACAGATACTGTGAGCATCATAAAAATCCAAATTATTATAATATATGGCACCTATTATTGTAAAAAATAAATTTATAAAATCAAGTTTTTTTGATCTTTATTTTTATGATGCCCAACTCAAAATCAATATGTAATTGTGACAAAATATATCATAAGGAAATGAGTCATTTGCATATTTAACTCAATCACTAGGACCGAGGCTCAAATTTTAGATGGGTTATGACTTGAAAAAACACACCCTGATAATATATAGTAAGAATATATTGGTCGTTAATGTCATGTTATTTGCTTTTGAATTAACAGAAAATCTATTTTAGAGAAGTTTAACACCAATACTAGGGTTCTGCAAGTAAACATGCCGGGCACAATTGGCGTTATGCCAGGCACTGTTGACACTGTGCCAGGCAGAAATACTAGTGCCCAAGTGCCTGTAATTATTTTTATTGTGCCTTGAATTTTTGCCAGTGCTAGTACTGATGTCACAATGTTTTTCGCATATGCTAGTCTATACTATGTATTATATGATTTTTTTCACTTCACAACTAGGTTCATTTATCGAATAACGATATAATTATCACCACCCTGCTTATTATCGTGGATAATAATATAACTGGAGTTATAGTAATTCGTAATAAAAAAAAGAGATATTTGTTGTGTATATGACCAATCGTTATTAAATTTTATGCCCGGTATTTTTGGCACCATGTTCGGCACTAATATTGGTGCCAATAAGTGCCTGTTTATATCAACCCCCCTAGCGTACCCACAAAAATTTTCCCCACCCATGATTTTTGGCCAATCAAATTTCAAGATCAGGTGTAACGTAAACAAACGAAGCGAAACCATTTTTTACAAATAAACTGAAATAACTCGAAATTTTAATTAAGAAATCACTTCTGCGGCCTAATTAAAAATGTTCCTTGTGAAATTTTACTAATAGCAATAACCCTAACTCTAACCCTAACCCTACACTGTTCTCGCTCTAACCCTAATTATAACGCGGTTTTATAAATCACGGGTGGGGAAAATTTTTGTGGGTGCGTTACCTAAAATGTTTACATCGTGCCTGCGCCCCAAATTTTAAAATCAAGTTATGCCCGTGCCTTAAACATTTTTTTTTTGTACCGGTATGTGCCGAGTTTGCAGAACCCTAACCAATACCCACATCTTAATAGTATGATGAATAATTAGATTACTTAGTTTTATTCGTTTTAAAGTCAATAATCACTGTTAAATAAAATGAACAAATATATAGATTATATAAACTTGGTTTGATTGGTTGTTTGATCATTAGATATATTACGATTGGTTGACATATTATGCATGATAATAGTCGTAAGGCCATATGCCCGGACCATCCAGTGTTGTTAAATTTGATGGTCATTTGCTTTTCTGAATGACTTTTGTCAGTCATTTGGGTCATTTAAAAATTTTATTATTAAATTTCATATATAAAACGTCATTGAAACTTTTTTTAGGTCATTTGACATTACTGGGACACCCGAGTGGACCTGGATATGTTTTGCGCCTTTGGACTGGGCGTGAACATGACAAATTTGGGTTCAATGTAACTCAAGACATTAAGGTCCAAGTCCAACGATCCATGGGATAAGTCTATTCATCGACTAAAATGGACAAATTTAAAATTCAATCTTAGTAGATCTCATTTTATTAATTTTAATGTCGTAAACATGGATCAACTTTGTTTCGATTGCTTATTTATTTTTGCTTATTTCTATTGAATGATGTGAATTCTGATTAACTAAAATTAAAATTACCGCATTTTGTCAGAATCGTAAGTTGATAAACGCCGGATCAAACAGGATCAAAATTGGTGGTTTGAACGATATTTTTTCGAAGCATAATCTACAAATTTTAAATATATATATTTTTTTTTGCCTTGCTTTGTCAAAAATCCTATTACATATAAGTGCGGCGACAAAAAATAAATAAGAATAATAAGAATAATAATATATAATAATAAACTAATAAATAATAAATAAATGACATAATTTCTCCGAAGCAACGTTTCCAGAATACGTTACACGACATATTGTAGCATTTTTGGTGTCATCTGATATGATTTGGTTTGATATTACTTGATTTGATTTGGTTTGATTTTTTTTTTTTTCTAGGTAAACAATTTAGCATATATGAATATGAAGTGGTACGTATTATACTTCAGTAGCTTACTTTCGATATATTGAATAAAATTATTACGAACCAGTGAACTTATTTGTATTATACAAAAGCGTATTTTACCTCAAGTGAACTATATAGTATATTTAATTAGTTATTATATATTTACGTTTTATACTGTATGGATCTTTGATAGAAAACTTCGACCAGAATACAGGCTTTTATTCATGCACTTTACTTTAGAATAGTAAATGATTTACATATGAACAAGAGCCGGTACTCTAAATTTTTTTGAATTAGCCCGATCGGAAAATCTCGGTGATTTCCTAGCAAAGGTCCCATATGGGTCGTTTGCTAGGAAAATCACTGTCTGAAAGCCAGGGCACAAATCTTGTAAAATTACGGAGATTTCCGTTTGCATGTGACAATTTCCGGCCCGACTTTTCAACAGACGGAGATTTTCCTGTGGTTTATAAGCTCGCATCTAAATTCCGATTTAAAAAAAAACCATTGACGGAAAAAAGGCATATTACATCACCCGGAAATTTTGTGCCCTGGTATTAAATGGAGATTTTCCTAGCAAACTACCCACATAACAGATTTAATTATTAGGACGATTCAGATGGATGTCAGATTCGAATAAAATTAGTGACGTATTAGTGATCATTTTTTTTACATAAAAATATATCATCAGAAAATGCACCTATTTTATTTTCTGATTTCGGAATCACATTATTTACAGTTTATATAATTCTTTCGATTTACTTCATATTTATCAATTTGACATTCTTTGTATGAAGTGTACTTGCTTAATCTATATTAAGTATGAAAGAACTGAAATGCTCCGCACTTTTGATTTTTAGGCTAACCAGATTTAAACGTTGACACGTATAAAAGGACCCTCTATTAATGCATGCTCATTTCTTTTCTCATCAGTAATTTTTCAACAATTGAATAGTTTTCTTCTTAAATTTTCAGTCTTGTTTTTTTTTGCTGATTATACAGTAATAAGCCAACCTTTTTTTTTTTTTAATCCGCTATTTTACTTACTCTTTATATTTACAGTATTTAGGAAATTCTTGTTAAATAAAACAAATATGAAGTCGTTACAAGCTTACAATCTTGATATTTTTTTTATCATAATCCTTTAACTGCCTCTACCTGCTACTGTTTTTTAAAACTGGCAATTTACTGTACCTGTCAGTGCAAACCTTTTAATAGAAACTTTTCCTCTTCACGCGTAAGATTATCTTACTTTCACTACACATAAATTTTTAAACGTTTGTCATTCATTATACTTACACTTTTTTTTTTAGCAAATTTTTCCTGGAATGCCACGCACACATGTGACTAGTGCATGTACTAACTGCCAAAAGAGACGCGGTAGATGCTCTGGAACTCCCTGTACAAGCTGCGTAAAGCGCGGCCTTAATTGTGTATTTAAGCCCGGTAAAAAACGCGGTCCAAAACCAAAGAATGAGGTGGTGGCCGATGCAACTTTATTTACTCAAAAACAAGAATATGATCCTGGCCCATACGTGAGCGATAATCAACAATTGTGTAATGGAATCATAAATTCTATGCAAAAAAATGTTCGTACTACATCAACCGAATATTTGAATTATTTAAATCAAGAACAACAACTATATAATAATAGTACTATTACTCCAGAAGTTATCGACCGTTTTCAAGCTGATAATGCTATGATAAATAGCCATAATGCTAGGTTTAATCATGAATCCACTATGGTACTGTCTGATTTATATTTTTTCCCTTTTATAGGAGATCGTTTAGAACACTCCGAGTATCAGCATGATAATTTAAGCTTAGCATACAATAGTGGTACTATTACTCAAGAAATCTTCGACCCTTTTCGAGTTGATAATGCTATGATAAATAGCCAGAATGCAGGATTTAATCATGAATCCATTATGGCACTACCTGATTTATATTTTGTCCCTTTTATAGGAGATCGTTTAGAACATTCAGAGTATCAGCATGATAACTTAAGCTTAGCATACAATAGTGATCATAACTACGTAGCTCCTAATTTCAATCCTAATAGAGGACATTCCCACTAAATTAAGTAACTTCCCTTAATTCTATCGCATGATTCTTTTTTTAAAAGTAATTAAATTATTAAATTCTGATAACTTAAGCGATCACCTTCTTTATCATATTTCAAGCAAATTAATCTTCCTTTAACTTTTTACGTCAAAAATATTTTAGCAAGTCATACAATTAACAAAGGATATGCGAACGTTTAAAGATCTCGGGATCTATTTTTCTTTATGAATGTAAGCTTATAATGCCTGCTTAATACAACAAATACTTTTTTTAAGCTTATATTACAAATTATTTTCATTATAATAAAGAAATCCTTACCACAATAAATCTATATTTATATTTTATATAGACTGGTTTGTGCTTTTATCAAGTTTTCACCGTATTATATATTATTATGGTATATCGAAAACCTGTTCAAAGTAACTTATAGAAAATGTCCTTCTCATTCACTATGATTGAGATTGCGATTTACACAGACTTTTGTAAACATTAATTATTTTCGGTTTCAATGGTTGAAATTTTTTTCATGGAAAATATCCACACTATTATATACTGTATATTGCGATAAAAGAGTGTTGTCTATATATATATATATATAGTCAGACCTCCCTAAGTGCACTCTCCCTAAGTGCACGGTATATGAAAAACTTCTCTAAGTGCATACTCCTTCTTGGTCCCAATTAATATAACAATTATAAATTTTAA